AAAGAGAGGAGTCAAGGATGTCACCTAGGTTTCCAGCCTGAGTGACCGGAAGGAGGGAACTGGCATTTCCTGAGATGGGGAAGACCTCAAGAGGAACACATTTGAAGGGGGTGGAGGAGAAAGGAGAAGGGGGCACGCCAAGGGGAGGGAGCTGTCCAGGAGAACAGGGAGGCTGGTGTAGGAGACCAGAGTGTGCTATGCTACCAGCTGGAGAGACAGGTACTAGAAGTTGCTAAACATCTACCATCAATAAAAGGTCCAGTGAATGTCGCCATTTTAACTGAATAGATTTGAAATGCAGTGTAGACAATGTCCCCTTGAAAATGAAAACATCAAAAAGAACAAATGTTTAAAAAGTTGATCATTTTTTTTTAAAGATTTTATTTATTTATTTGACAGAGAGAGACACAGTGAGAGAGGGAATACAAGCAGGGGGAATGGGAGAGGGAGAAGCAGGCTTCCCGTGGAGCAGGGAGCCCGATGCGGGGCTCGATCCCAGGACCCTGGGATCATGACCTGAGCTGAAGGCAGACGCTTAACGACTGAGCCACCCAGGTGCCCCAAAAGTTGATCATTTTTGTGCTCCTTCTGAAACAATGAAAAATAACACTATGCTTCAGAAGCCTCAACATTGCAAGCCACATAGTAGAGCAAGGACTAGGCCCTGGGGCACTCCCATTAGGGAGTCATCTGGGAAAGACAGAGAACTGTCAAGGAGATAGAGGAGTAGTCAGTGAGAGACCGGTAAAAACAAAGAATGGGGTATGCCAAGTGAGATAAAAAAGTATTGTAAGTTGTTAAACACCCACTATCTATAAAAGATGAAACTAATGTCACCATTTTAATGGAATATATTTACTTTGAAGCACAGTGTAGACAATGCCCCCTTGTAAATGAAAATGTTAAAAAGAACAAATTTCCTCCAAAGTTAATCATTTTTATTCTTTATGAACCAGTGAAAAGCAACACTATACTTTAGAAGCCTCAAGGTACAAGCCACATATTCATAAGCACTGCATTTCAGTAGATGTGCATGCAAACACACACACACACACACACACACACACATTCTAAGTTGAGGTGAGTGGGAGCAATGAAGAGCTGCTATATGGTGTTTGCTCAATGAAAGAAGTGAAAAAAGCCTTCAGTAATAACTGTTGCCAGAAGCACAGCTTTAGGGTTTGGGGAGTGTGGTTAAGGATAGAGACGGGATTGAATCCAGGCACTGAGGTTATTTACTGCTTCTAAAACGAAGTTCTTAAAAAAAACAGTGATTGCATAGCTCTCTTGGGACAAAATGTCTTTGCTGATACAGGGCAGAGAGGGACTTGAGGTAAGTCAGTACTGGCTGCCACAGCTTGTGGTGGTAGTAGCTGAAGTAGAAGCAGGGGAAACAGTACATGAACAACAGGGCCCAGGCCTGGCTGAAAGGACCGCTGAGCTTCATGCTTTCCAGCGACTTGAGAGAGGAGCAGCACTGTTTCGGTGAGGGGCATTGGAATGCCAAGTATAGGTGAGACAGGATAGCCCTGTGGGATTGAAGCCTCAATACTGTCAAGATGGTGATTCTCCCTAAATTGATCTACAGATTCAAAACAGTCCATATCAAAAACCCAGCAGGATTTTTTTTTTCTTTTTTGGCAGAAATTGACAGGCTGATCCTGAAATTTATATGGAAATGCAAAAGCTCTAGAAGGGCCAAAACGGTTTTGAAAAAGGACATAGTTAAAAGACTTACACTTTCCAGTTTCAGAATGTACTATAAAACTACAGAAATCAAGACAGTGTTGTACTGGCATAAGTACAGACATCTAGATCAATGAGAGTCCAGAAATAAACCCTTTTATGGTCAGTTTATTTTCTACAAAGATACCAAGGCAATTCAATAGGGAAGGGATTGTCTTTTCAACAAACGGCACTGGGACAATTGCCTATCTGCAACTGTCCACAATTTGGATGGAGTTAAACCCTTTCCTCACACTTTACACAAAAATTAACTAAAAATAGATCATAGGCCTAAATATAAGAGCTGAAACTAGCAACTTCTAAGAAGAAAACCTAGGAGTAAATCTTTGTGAACTTGAGCTAGGTAACGTGTTCTTAAGTATGATACCAAAAGCATGATTCATAAATGAAGAAATAAATTGGACTTCGTCAAAGTTAAAAACTTTTGCTCTTCAAAGATACCATTAAGAAAATGAAAAGACAAGTGACTGACTGGAAGAAAACATTTGCAAATCATGTGTCTGATAGAGACTTGTATCCAGAATATATGAAGAACTCTTGCAACTCAATAATAAGAAAATAAGCAACCCAATTTAAGAATGGGCTGGAATAGCTTTTTTACCAAAGAGGAAATATGAATGGCTAATAAGTACATAAAACGATGCTTAATACATCATTAGTCATTAGAGAAATGCAAATGAAAACTGCACCTACTAGAATGTCTATAATAAAAAGAAAAAAAAAATCAAGCATTGGTGAGGATATGGAGAAACTGGAGCCCTCATAGATTGCTGGTAGGAATGTAAAATGGTGCAGCCACTTTAGAAAAGTTTGTTTCACAAAATGTTAAGCATAGATTTACCATCGGACTCAGCAATTGCACAACTAGGTATTTACCAAGAGAAATGAAAATATGTTTTCATAAAAATGTATACAGAAATGTTCATAGGAGCATTATTCACAACAAAAACTTGTACACCCATGTTCATAGTATTATTCACAATAGCCAAAAGTGCAAACAATCCAAATATCCATCAACTGGTGGGAGGATTAACAAAATGTGGTATGCCCATGTGATGGAATTTACTCAGGAATAAAAAGGAATGAACTACTATTGATAGATGCTATAACATGGATGAACCTCAAAACCACTATGCGCAGTGAAAGAAGCCAGATGCAAAAGACTACATATTATATGATTCCAATTACGTTAAATGTCCAGAAATTGTCCGTAGAGACAAAGACTTTAAGTGGTTGCCTAGGCCCAGAGACGGAAAGGGGGACTGACTGCAGATAGACATGAGGGATCTCTTTGGGGTGACAGAAATATTCAAAATCTGGATTGTGGTTACACAGCTCTGCAAATTTAGTAAAAATCACTGAATTGTATACTTAAAGTGGGTGAATTTCATGGTATGCAAATTTTACCTCAAAGCTAACTTTTTAAAAAAAGATTTGGGGAGTTTTCTTTTTTTTAAATCTTTTTATTTATTTATTTGAGAGAGAGAATAAGAGAGCTAGAGCACGAGAGGGGGGAGGGTCAGAGGGAGAAGCTGACTCCCTGCTGAGCAGGGAGCCTGATGCGGGACTCGATCACAGGACTCCAGGATCATGACCTGAGCCGAATGCAGTCGCTTAACCGAGCCACCCAAGCGCCCACCTCAAAGCAAACTTTTTTTTTTCAAAGATTTTATTTATTCATGAGAGACAGAGAGAGAGGCAGAGGGAGAAGCAGGCTCCCAAGGAGCAGGAAGCCCGATGCGGGACTCGATCCCAGGACCCTGAGATCATGACCTGAGCCGAAGGCAGACGCTTAACCATCTGAGCCACCCAGGCGCCCT